CGATTGGACTACATTTTGCAGTTAGGAACCACTATTTCTAGTTCGATTTAGAAACAACGTATGTACTGTGATACCGGGGGATTCAGTTACGAGTATAATAACCAATTTCTACGTACAATGTATGGAGTCTTCAGTGCATTCTGTTGTTTATAAGAGCGTTTTTACAGTGCGTTCACTCCAGACTGAGAAAAAAAGTCAGGTTACAGATACTGAGGCTCGGTTGCCCTGGTAAAAATCGGCAGTAGAATCTGTGTTCCAAAATACCATAGACCTACAGCCGGCTGTAAGATTTCCAATAGCTACTATAGCCGGCAACACAATTTCTTATAGCCTTTTATAGCCGGTGGCGATTAAGCAACAGCCTGGCGATAAAGTGTATGCAAAACGTTACTAATTACGGATCCTAGGACTTGGTGAGTTTTTGGACTACGGCTCTCTTTTTGGGCCGTAGTATCTTGATTTATTTTGCGAGAAAAGCCCCGTACTTTTGAAGGATGCCTGCCATTCCTAATATGTTGGAGCTCCTTCAATTTCGTACTTGATACTGTGCCATACCTCTGGTGTGAAATGGTTGCTTCAAGCGCCGTGGTACGCTGCGGCGCGGCGGGCGGGCAGCCAGCGCGAAACACGCATTGGCGCCTACAAACCTAACAGGGATACTTCACGCATTGCGCAATGCGTGATGTATCCCTGTTAGGTTTGTAGGCGCCAGTGCGTCGCCGCTCCGCTTTGTGTTAGGCTCTAATATTTAATCTCGCAGAGTCAGCGTTTTTCAACTCATGACTTTGAAATGTTTGCACACTCTGTATGGGTTATTCTCATTTTAATTCATGAAAAAAATATGTAGTAAAGGAAAATATAATGTGCGTTTTGTAAATATTAAGGTAATTCCGTATAAACTTAAGGGTTTACAAAGCACACGAATTTCCACACAATTTCTCCACAATTTCTTGTAGCCTTTTATAGCCGATGGCGAAAAAGCAACAGCCAGGCGACAAAGTGTAAAGCCCGGCGATAGGAACTATAGCCCGGCTGTATAATTTTTTATCGCTTCGTGTAGCCCGGCCGTATGATTTTTTCCACTTTCTACAGCCAGCTATATGATTTTCTATCGCCTTATTCAGTCGGCTATAAGAACTCCTATGGTATTTTGAACCGCAGCTTCTATCGCCAATTTTTACCAGGGTCATATCGATTGGAGCGGTTAAATTCAGCTAAACAAAGTCTATGTTGATGGGAACCGAATTATTTCGGTCAGTCGAACCAAGGTTCGGTTTCTGTGACCAAAAATTTCATTTACTTCAAAACTCCGATGTTCAATGTAATGAGTCGAACTTTTTTGATCAGGAATGGTCAAAGGTGGTGCGAAGTGGTGGGAACGCGGTCAGAGCAACGGAATAATTTCGGTCAGCTGAACCATAATCCGGTTTCTGTAAGCGAAAAGCTTCGATGCTCAATATGAACCAAAAACTTGGATGTTCCAACGAACAAAAAAACTTTCTTGTTCAACACGAACCGAACTTTTTTGATTCGTAGCTCCGTTTCTGTGGCTGTAATTGTCTAGAGTACCTGTATAGGCAGAGTACCGACAGATCGGTTCATGGAGGGCTTAGGGCCCAAAAGTGCAGCCACCCTTCTAACCAACTTCTAACGCACAAAATTTCACTGCCAGTCTGCAGATTCCAATTCCAGCCAAGATGGCCAAGAATGTACAGAAATGAGCGTTCTTCCGCGAAATTGAGTAAATTTATGCAAAAACTGAGTCAAATACGTGCTTAATAAAGGACGGTTCGTAACAATAGTATCAGTAAATCGCTCTGGATAATTGAAATTCATAGGTTGGCTGCTCTTTTGGGCCCTAACTTTATTCGCTGAGGCATCGGTGAAGGCCTGATGGACTTTCGGAGTTTCAGATCTGTTGGTACTCTCCCTATACAGGTACTCTATAATCGTCCGTCCCCAAAACTGGAAAACCTCCATCTTTATTAAGAACCGTAGTTTTTTCGGTGGGAAGTGGCGGGAAGGCGGCAACGCGGAGCGTTAAGTCGCCAAGCGAACGTAAGAAACGTAAGCGACCCGTTATGCGGCTCGGACGCGTTGGCTGGTGCTCCGGCGGCGCGGCGCGGCGGGACCTGAGGTCATTGACAGGGAGGCAGACGCGGCCGCGGGCGGCGCGAAGCGAACTCGCGGTCCCGATGCCGACCCTGAATAACAGCTGTGACGTAATCGGAATCGGCATTCACCAAACCCAGCCAACGTCGCGTCGCGACGCGCACCGCCCGCCAAGCGCGCGCGTCTCCAGTTCCGGTTCCTCCTTAACAGGTGTGTCCCACCGGCGCTGCCGAGTCTACCGCCCTCTCGTGCCGGCCCCCCGAACTAACCCTTAGCCCAAATTAGAGTACCTACATTGAGAGCAGAGACAAGAGACCCTCCACTGGCCTCCTAGCGACAGGTAGAAGCTTCTACTTTCGGGGTTTCAACAGTTCCTTATGGACAATTGTAAGGGAGCAGCAGTCATCACCCTAATTTCGGCTGTTGACCTACCTACATGGTCGATGATGAGCTTCGGATGACGTCATAAGCCAAACAGCTTTCCCAAACGTCGGCCATCTTCGGCTTGTTTGCAAAACGAAACTGCCAACACGTTGTTGAACATCAACCATGTAGGTAAGTCAACAGTAGAATGCTGAAGTCCAGAAAGTAAAAGCTTCCACCATGGCCAAGATAGCAGTAAATGACGGTAGGATACGAGGAGGGAGGTGTCAAAAAATTGAAAAAAATGGGTGGCGTAATTTACGAAGGAGTATAATTTTTGAAAAAGAGCCTTCTTTAAATGTGGGCTTGAATATTTACTTCTTTGGACTCGAGTTGCACTGAAAAAAAAAACACATTGGATCTAGAGTCCAGACTCTTGAAAACATTGACAAGAAAAAATACTTTTGATTCAATCGGCTTTATGCTTGAATCAAAAGGAAATCCGCTTAAATTAAGAGGCTTGGTTCTTGATTTAAGCTGGATTCTGATTGAATCAAGAGCAATTTTTTTTGTCGATGCTCTTAAGAGTCTGGACTCTAGATCCAATGTGTTTTTTTTTCCAGTGTGAAGCGAAAATTCTCCTAGATAACCTATCCTCCAGCACGTGCGAAGTTGTTCCTGTAGAAAACGCAAAATTTCTTAATTCGTCTCGCAAGTCGGCATCGACGGACGGGGCTTGCATAGCAGGAATTCCTCCGTGAATGGCAGCCCCGCGGATTTTGGAATGCGTCCAGGTTTCATGGGTGTTTCGTGCCTCTTGGCGTCGCTGCTCCAGAATTCTTTCTCTTTTCAGTCCGGGCTGGAACCCCGGATTTCCTAGATTCGGTGACCGGAGCGCCCTCTTGACTGGCCGGAGTTTAACTGGCGGAGTTTAACAACATTTTATCCAATGAAAATCTTCGAATTTCGTATAGTATATGGGTCACTTGCGCTGGTCACAGAATCGTGTTTTGATGCGTGATTCTTGTAGATTGGCTGAAAATAATGAGATCTGTCACTCGGTCACTCTCGAACGTTTATACGGCGTTCTTTCTAATTTGCAAGGCATCATGTATCTGACAGTGGCGAGGCGTGAATGATCGAATATCTTCCCCATTTGAAGTTATGGTAAAGAATCGAGTATTGAGTTGTTCATTGCGAACACCCAGCTTATCGATCTTATTACATAGTTTCAATGGCAGAACAATCGATGTATCCAAGCGCCTGCACCCGCTCCCATTTCGTTTCTCGAGGGAAATACGATCCGCACTTGAATTACTAAAAATTTTCACAGAATATGCTTCAAACAGGGAAAAGTACAGAGATGTACAAGAAACCACGTTGATTACTTTTACAATTCAAAAAGAATAGCGAGGAGTTTGCGAAGTCTCAAACTGAGATGCATGGTTTCCATTTCACCAGTGGCGTGGCGTGCTTTGCGATGTATCGATTGATCTGGCATTGAAACCTATGGGCAAGGATCGATGAAGAGGGTGCTCGTAAACGAACACCTCAATAATCGATTCTTTACCACAGCTTTAAATTGGGAATTATCGATAATCGATAATTCACGCCTCGCCAGTGCGTTTCGCCTATCTCTGTACCTGTGTAGAACAGAACAAAAAGTCTTTTTATATTTTTAGAACAAGCAAGACAGTGGCGCTCAGGAAGCTCTCATTGACGTTTCAGCCAAAATTTTTAACTTTTTTCAACGGCAAACTTTAGTGGTCCTATGTTTCACCGGTGGTGCTTATTGCTGAAATGCAACATTTTAAAAGTGCACTCAGCGTGTACTTATCATTGTGCGATTCCAACGGGTTTCAATCCTTGATAATTTTTTCTCAGGATTCGCGACAGCAACGCTGTAGGTATCCCGGTTGCTCTGACAACACCGTCCGGTGAAAGGATTCGAATCTAAACGGAAAGTTGTCGGCAAGCTTGTCGGGTTGTGCTCAAGAATTCAATTCGTTTACGTGGTTTCAGCAGCGAAAACCGATGCTTTTTCACGACCACTTGTCAAGGATGGTTGTCGGAAGCGACTCTCAGACACACTCTCTCATGATTGAGAATGTTGCTAACATTTAACCTTTACCTTTACTATACACTAACACACAAGTCGGCAGATAGTCCCGACTGCTTCCAGACACAGTGAGAACACTTTTTCGTAGTTTGGACATTGAGGTAGAAACGGAATGTTTTGAGACATAATCTCGGGCAATCGTGAAAAAATTTTTCATGACTTTTGAAGGAGAAAAATGCTGATCAAAACTTGCTGTAATATTTTAAAATTTTGAAAGTTCTTGTTAAGATTACCAAGATTCGTATTCTTTCCGAAAGATTTCGGTCATCTGAACTGAAGTTCGGTTCCTACTCCCTAGGACTGGTGGAAACTTCAGTCTTCTGGATCAAAAACGTAAGTGTTCTACAGGGCGATCTAAAATTCTCGCACCACCTCTCTAACCCTTGGGTTTGTTGCCTTTTTTCAGGGTGGTCCCTTTGAAATTTTGGGATCTCCTGAAAGCTGTTCCTTTGGACCTCTGAGCTTTTTCAAAAGTTCAAGGCTATATCAATTTGTTTGAAAGTTACGAGGGTGATGCCAGCCAGGTGCTGTACCGAAAAAAAGTTTGGTCTTATGAACCGAATGCACGGTGTCCAGTATCGGCTATTGTTCGGCTGATGTAACCGCTCTCTCGGTCCTAGGCACCGAATCCTCGGCCCAAGCAACCGAGTTTTTTCTATGGTTCGGTTTGGTTTGAAAGCTCGGTTGCATGAACTGAACACTTCGACCAATATTGAGCACAGTACGTTCGGTTCATATGACTGGTCTTTTTTGCTCAGTTGGAGGGGGCGGGACTTTTGGATCACCCTGCATATGAATTGGACCACATTTTCAGGCTCACTCAAAAAAGCTCCTTCTTGCATAAGGAAACTAATATCACCAGGGTGTCAGTAAGTCCGAAACTTCCGAAAAATCTGGAAATAGTACTGATTATTCAAAGCCGGTCCGGAAGTCTCGAAAAAGTGCGGAAATTCCGCAAGAAAATCCGGAAATTCCTCCATTCTTTGTCATTATTGAGCGAGAAATTCAAATTTTTGAAATTTTTCGCATTTCGTCAAATGGAGGTAGGTACTGAAAAAGCACGAAATTTTTCTGTTGAGGAGGTACAGGATTTCTTTGGGAAAGTACTGTAAAAGTACTGGTTTTTGGCCAGCCTGTTTTAGTAGACATCGTGATCACATATGCTGTTAATACTATAATAAGCCAGAAATTGTAGTTCTTCATTGCCAAAGCAGTCCAATGAAACTTTAGTCATTGTAATCGAAGTGTCTCTCTCCGCGTGATGTTCACGTTCTACTATTCCGTATTTTCCGCACCCCTGTCCCGTTTTGTCTCCGTGTGCGGCAAGTTGCGTCCCGTCTCCTGTGTCTGGGTCTACGGCTGCGTCTGGGAGGAGCAATTAATGTAATTACGGAGTTCCGCGCATGCGCGCAAGCTTCGAGAGATCCGCCGCCGCCGCGAACACAACGCACGATAAAACGATCGTCCCGTCGATCGCCGTCGTATCAGCTTCCTCGACGAATAAATCCGTTTTCGCATCCGTCCACCCCGCCCCCTCCTCCCCTCGGGTCCGCATCCCCCCTCTTCTCCCCCGCGGGTCCGCCCGCCGAATGACTCGCCAAAACATGGTATCCGACTCCCCGAAATCCTTTTTGTAAGTCTTAGGGCACGAGTAGAAATCGGAGTGGCAACCGAAAGCCCCCGTACCAAGAAGAAGCCAATGTTGAAATTACCATAGGGGCCGTCCATAAATTACGTCACGCTTTTTTCCGCCATTTTTGCCCCCCTTTCCCCCTTCGCCACGCTTTTCAGACGTAGTTCCCGTTCCTTTAACACGTAAAAACAAAATGGCGTAACGCTCTCCTCGACGACACCCCCCCCCCCCCAGAGAATCTCATAATTTATGGACGGACCCTTATCAGTGGTGTCAGGGTATATGAACTCTTGATTTATGGTAGTCATAATCTCTACATTGATATTTTTACCATTACGGTAATATTGTTATCATTTAATGGTATGAATACCACTATTGTCGGTCATGACTACTCGTTAGTGGGAACTCATACAAAACACCACCAAGTAGTTTTAGCCATGGTTTTTTCTCCGCGCGGAAATTCCCAATTAATCTCGGGAAAGTTTGACAAGAATACACACACACCCACCCTCACAGATACTTGACTGTAACTTCACACTAACTTCCTCGAGAGGGCTACCGGTCCGATACTTCATTTAATTTCTATGCTGCCTCTCCCAATAAATCAGGATTTTGTGCATGTACTTCTCTGTGATAAGGGACAAAAATACAACACAATATAGACTTCTAAAATTGGGTCGCTCTAAAAGTGGCTGTCTAACGGGAAATCCGGATGTGAGCAAGGATGCTGTATACTGTGTACAAATTTTAAGAGCAAACGCTGCTAATGAAACGGGAGTGGACCCGCCTATTTCCATGTTGCCTGGAGCCGGGAATAGATGAGAACTAATCAATAAGGTTACCGCCTGTGTCAATAGTAACACCTGAGTAAAAGAGGCAATTCACAACAAATGTTTATTGGCCCAAGATGCCTATTGTTAGACGCACGAATCTGTTGACTTTGCAAAAATAATGAAGACAGATTACTCCAGCGTTGTTTTTCACTTCCTCTCCAGGGTTCCCAACGTAAGACGCATACTGTACCGACTGTGAACAAACGATGAGTTTTTCAGATTAACAATTACCAAAAAATGCTGTTAGTACCCTGAAAAAATCCAAAAGAAACACTGGAAAAAAACACATTGGATCTAGAGTCCAGACTCTTAAAAACATCGACAAGAAAAAGTTCACTTGATTCAATCAGAATCTAGCTTAAATCAAGAACCAAGCCTCTTAATTTAAGCGGATTCCGTTTTGATTCAAGCAAAAATACGATTGAATCAAGAGTATTTTTCTTGGCACAGTTTTCAAGAGTCTGGACTTTAGATCCAATGTGTTTTTGTTTTTTTTTTCAGTGAAGATGAAGCATAATGATCAGGAAAATTTCGCCAAAATCAACATCACAAACTTCAAAAAAGGAAAACTCCAAATTCTATTGAAAGTTTTAGCCCTCGGATCTGTTCCCCACGGACGAAACTCAGTGATACAATTTTTTTTATCTTGGCAAATTGCGTACATTTTTTCGTAAGTTTTTTTGCTCTTCGACAGGTATCTCGGTCGATCGAATTTTTACGATGATGCATTCACCTTTAATGTTTTCGCTGATGAGGAATTAGTGAATTTCGTCAAAGTGACGTTATGCGGGTCAAGTTTCAAATACATTGAAATACATTGAAATACATTGAAATACATTGAATAATACTTTCCTCGCCAGTTGCTAACATCGTTTTAACACAATAGCACTAATTGTAAGTTGTAATCAGAATAAGTTGACGGGCTTAATCTCTTGAAACGAAAAGTTAAAAGCAGTGGCGTTATCAACAGAATTCCGTCAGCTTTTTTACTTTTTTTCAGGATACATGTACAGTTCTAAAATTTACTGCAAACTAATAGAAGCGTGACAAAATTTAGATCTTACCGTACATTTGTCCGAAAAGTAATATCGATTGTTTTACAAACATTTAAATGAACCAGCGTTGCCAAATTGCTAGAATCACAGCCGCCATTGATTCCAATGTAAATCAGAATTCAGGGGTGCAAAAAGTTCTTCGGCCTACGCAGTTTCGAGCAAGTAGGCATCCAGCCTACGCACCATGACGTCGCGCGCTCAAAGTTATTTTCGCCAAAAAAAGCGCATTCGCATTAATTTATTTTTCAGAAACTTCAGTAATTTTCTGCGTTCAGTTCAGTCTTTAGAATGAAAGATTTGTTTTATTTCTGTCACTGAAGTGAACGTTTGGTTCATGCATGTATCCGCTCTTTTTTCATCGGTCTTTCAACCTTCTGAGTTCGATTATACAAAACTAAAAGTTGGTTTAAAGTTGAACTTATTTTTATCGGGCTGCATTATGTTGATGAAATTAGTGATCGGGAGAAAGGTAATTTCATCAACATAAAAGTTGGTTGCCGAACCAGATATAGTTGGGATGATGTACAGCACCATGTTTTCCTTCATTTTGTGGATTAAAAATTTTATCTCCTCGGAGGTAAAATAGTTTTATTAGGTGTTCCGACTCATCCACCTTTTCTACTCCGCGTTAAAGTCTCTGAGTCAGCCAGAGAGTTCACGTTCTCCTTCATTTCGTCGATATGCAATTTTAGCTACTCGGAAGTCGAAATAGCTGTATCACGCGTTTCTGACCATCCTACTTTTTTCCTCTGCGTTAAAATCTTGTTACTTCGTGATCATGATCGGATCTGTGGAAAGAGATCTATGACAAGGAGTCTACCAAATCGCAAACGGAGTTACGTGGTTTTGAGCTTTGGCCATCGCATCGATATTATCCTTCATAATATCTTCGAGACATTTACGGCTGGAATATGCCGTAGCTGTGCACAGTGCACGGCGCCACGTTAAAGGACGGGAGAGAGCGAGAATTTGGCGCAATTGTTCCGGTGAAGTGAAGGGATAGAAAAAAGTTGAGTGGATAAGGAGCGGTTGACCTAAAGTACCCCAGCATCGGATTACGTCATGTTTATAATAGATGCCTGGATGTTTGCATTAGAAAGGAGGCAAGTTTCACGCGGGTTTGTCTCCGCCCCTTGAGGCCTGCCTCCTCGCATGAACTTATTGTCAAGCTACATCAGATCAAGATGAAGGGAGAAAGTGAGAGGGAGTATTAGCGTAGTTGTCGAGCTGCAATAAAAAAAAATGGTTTTTTTTTCAATGGTAAACTTCTACAGATGCACCAAAAGCATACTCACCATGGGATCGAAGTGAGAATTTTCTCGTTACCGGGATGGAAATATTCCCGGGAAAGTTCGCAAGAATTCTCAGAAATTTTCCCGGAAGACAGACACGCGGGTGCACGCACGGATTTTTCGTCTAAATTTGAAAATCCGATTTTCCACCCCACGTGACAAAATCGCTCTATTGCCAATCTTGCTTCCGAAGGAGAGGGTTCCCTCCTTAATGAACTTTTATGCATTTTTCATGGAAGTCGTAACACCTTTACAAATATTTTCTGAGTATGAGAAACATTTTTGTCTGTCTATACGGGTAGGGGGAAGGGGCATGTTGCGTACATTTAGCAACAATCAGAACTATTGAATAACTATTCACTTTTATAATAACAATATTCATAATAATGCTGTGGATATGACTTTATTCACACGGATTTATAGCGTTACAATGCGTATGTATATAGAACTCTGTTACCACGGAGACATATCAGGTTGAAGCTTAATTAGCTTTAACAGGGCATGAACCGAACATTATTGACTTCTCGCACGAAGTTCGGCGTATTATGTGGCTACACAAGGTTACACC